AATGCTTAGACGCGCGGAGGTTGCTGAATTATGTGGATTCGAGGCGCTGTGATGCCTGTGGGAGGGGAGGTTTAGGATCGGAGCCTAGGAGTATCGTATTGACAAGCGGTTGGTCTTGTTGTAGAGAGCAAGGAATTCTGCTTAATGCAATACCATGAAATTATTCTAGACTCGCAAGCAAAGTAGAATAATGTAGTCGTGAAATAGCACTATTTTCCCGTTTTTCCGTTGTACACTCTAGGTATTATTAGCTCTTGATATATATGTGTGTGCGCGCGGTGTCTGATAGGTGGCGATGTGTAAACGGGATTTATATTGGCCAACTACCGCGGGTGTGAGAGGAGAGGCGTGATAGCTCCCTGGGATCAAGAGCACAGCAGTAGTCCCAGGTGACAGCGGGAGCAGCAGGTCGGTAGTCCTATATACACTAAGGTGTGCGAACTGGGAGAGATGGTCACACTGACTGAATGCGGTCAGGTTTGGTCAGCAATATAGTCTAACGATATGTCGGAGGAACAGCGGCCCGAGCTACCGTCGCATCAGTTGTGGTATAAGGATGACATGGTACAGTAGTACTTGTGAATATCATGGTGCCCTTCATAAACCAGGTGGAGAACATGAAGTGTAGGGACGACGACGTGTTTGTGTGCAGCTGGCCGAAATGTGGTGAGTGTGTGAGTGCTGAAGCGACTCAATACTAGTTTAGGACCCCCATCGTGCAAACGTTATCGTGCATCTACATACGTATAACACTAACCTACACTAACACGTACGTACGTACGTACGTAGCATACGTAACATACATCATCATCATATCCCTATCCCTAATCAGCACCATAACCCCAAGCTCTAACTGAACACCTAAACACTGACTTTAAAACGATCATTCATCAAATGAACTAAAAAATAAATTGAGACAAATTTATACTCACCTGTCAGTGTACACACATATTACTGATTCCTTCAGCATAAAAATTTATTACGGGTTCCTGCTGTTATAGGCTATAAAGCAGTAAATGACCAGCAAACGTGCACCTGCTATCTTCAGCTTCGCGATAATGGAATGTTCAAACGGTCCCACAAAACTAGTGAACGTAGTTACGTGATGCAAAATATTTATAGAATGGTACCAATCATGAAATGTATGCAAAGGTAGTGTAGCGACAGGTAGAGTAGTCACAATAATCACAACGTTTTAAGTTAAAATTCATCACAAGTTTAAATCGATCTACCCATGACCCCGTACATAATAACACGCACCAAGGTCAAACGACGAACGCAATAATGCAAGTCATGCAGCCGCAGATGGATCTTCCCGCTCGCGATGGACTGTATCACGATTCTACCGCACGCACGTATACGTACATACAGGAACGACGTGGGTGCAGACGATAGTCATGTACGTCATGAACGACGCCAATCTCGACAAGTTCGGCGACAAGACGATCGAAGACATATTTCCGATGCTGGAACAGATCGACATCAGCGGAGGAGCTGACCAACCGGTACTCGACATCAGCGCCATGCCCTCGCCGCGGCTGATGAAGACTCACATCCCGTTCAGGTATCTGTGCGAAGACATCCGGGAGAGACGCAAAAAACAAAAGGTACGCACGCGCGCGCGGCGAGCGTCTGCAGCGCGGGAAAATATCTGACGTGCGCGCGGGAAAATATCTGGATGAGAGTTAGAATACCGGATTGATATGTGGCGGGACGCATAGGAAAGAAAGAAATCCATTCGTCGTGTCTGTAGGCCTAATCGATTATCTCTACCGGCTCTATTCCACTATGGTACTCCGGTGCGTAATTCATCATTATTAACCCTAACCCTAACCCTAATCATAACCCTATTTATAGGCCTAACGCTAACCCTAATCATAGCCTTAACTCTAACCATAACCTTAACCCTAACCCTAACCATAATTATAACCATAACCTTAACCATAACCATAACCCTAAACCTAACCATAACCATAATCCTAACCCTAATCCCAACGCTAACCATAACCATAACCATAACCTTAACCCTAACTCTAGCCCTAACCATAATCCTAACGCTAATCCTAACTCTAACTCTAAGCATAACCCTAACCAATAACCTTAAGTCCACCAACAAAATCCGGGTCCATGAAGTGTAACTGAACCATTCTATCCATGTCTAGTTGGAGCGCAGGGCTACATGTATAGAGCCTGTGGCATTACCATGGGTGTAATAGGTCAGTAACAGCACACGTTACTTGCACATTCTAGATCGTCTACGTTACTAGGAATCCGAAAGATGCGATCGTATCGTTCTATCACTTCGACCCAAAAGGCTTTTCGATACCTGGCGTCACCGATCCCGAATATTGCAAATGGACCTTCTCGCAATATCTCAACTGTTTCTTCCATGACGCCAGTACGTTATTCAGAATCTTCGTGCAGAAAAATCTGCTGTAAATATCAGAGCAGAAATATTAAGCGTTTGGGAATTCACGTAAAAATGGTACTATTGCATATATAATAGGAAATTTTATAAGAATGATTAATAATATTGTGAAACACATTTGACCAGCTCCCTACGGCTCCTACTGGGACCACAACCTGGAATTCTGGGAGCGAAAAGACTGGGATAATATTCTCTTCTTGAAATACGAAGATATGCTTAAAGTAAGTTTAGTACCGTAAATTACTCTCATTTACGTATTATCAAGAGATAATAATAACATAAGCATAATACCTTGGTGTTATGCGTATTTCTTGAATAAATAACAATGCTGATTCCACCTCTGGCCTCCAAACATACGAACGTATTGATATGTTGTCACAACCATCGCGTACACGTATCTGCCACCGTGTGTGCCCCATTTTACAGATAAGTAACGTTTCTGAGGGATTGTCTGCTAAGTAAAACACCGAGGTAAATGAGACACCGTTAAACGAGGTACAATATAGTATTTTCGTATATCTCTCTCTTTCTCTTTCTCTCTCTCTCTCTCTCTCTCTCTCTCTCTCTCTCTCTCGCTTTCTTTCTTTCTTTCTTTCTTATCTCTCTCTCTTTCTCTTCTCTTCTCTTTTCGCTCTCTCTCTCTTCCGTTGTTTCGTATTCTATTGTACGGAGCTTCCCCCTAATCGCAAGGACCCTATCGCAATATCTGTGCGTTCATATCACTTCACGCTAGGACTCCCCGCGCGCACGTAGTTCAAAGATTGACCGCAGCTTCCTGGGAAAAAACGTTGACAGAGGGAGCAGATTGATAAAGATACAACGACGGAGACGAGCTTCACGAAAAATGAAGATACAACAACCATGCGTCTTAACTATTTCGTTCCTGCGATCAGCGTCAGTGATTCGGAGGCGGCACCTGCTCATCAGAAAAAGGTATCGGTATATACATTGCCAACACACACACACACACACACACACCACAGCACCACACACACACACACACACACACAACAACACCACACACACAACACACACAACCACACACACACACTGCGCGCACACAACACGCACGCACACACACACACCACACTCTCTCTCTCTCTCACACACACACCTCTTCTCTCCTCTCTTTCTTTTCTCTCTCTCTCTCACACACACACACACACACACACACACAAACACACACACACACATGCGCGCGCACGCACGCACACGCACGCACGCACGCACGCACGGACGCACCACACGCGTCATACATCAGCAGCCTATCATGAAAAAGGAGAGCGACCATGTTATATCATATAGTCAGGGGGCCCGTTGCCCGAAACACCATAAACAGTTATGAGATCATCAATCTAGGACGCCATTGCATGTTGATGTTCACCTGGAGCATGTGCACGTTCACCAAGGTAATGACATCCTAGACTTGTGACAGTATGGTCTGTTTACGATGCTGATGATAGCAGGTCGCAGATCGTAGCTGGGGAGTACAGTTACAAGCGTTTCCCTAAGACATCTATTGTTGTTGCGTCGACCCAAGATAGTGATGAGTTGTTCGCTTACTGCTCACAGGTCGCGCCGGAGGCTGGAAGACTCACTTCACGGTTGCAGAGAACGAGAAGATGGATAAGATATACGAGGAGAAGTTCAGAGGAACGGGGCTTCAGCATTTATTTAATTTCTGATGAACCTGAAGAACAATGTTATAGTCTAACGAAGAAGGCAAACGTAGCGATCACAACCAGCTAGACAAACATGCATCAATAATTACTCCAATTTCTTCTTTGGCGCGGCATCCGACGATATAAGCAGAAAACTGCAAGTTATTGCCGAGTATAGTCTCAGACTTAGCAGCCGCAGTATAGCTGATCCTACATGCTAATACAGGCGCCCTGCAAAGAACTGCCGTACTTTGAGAGGCGTATCTGACACAATGAACAGCGACTTGAATAAATATATCATCATATTCTGGGCGGGAGTCTCGCGCCCCTGCAGAGTTTTGTCACGATCAGGTCTAATAGATACTTGTAACTAGTTCATTTATAGAGTTACATATGGTTTGCTACTAACAAAAAGTGAATGCGTCATTTTGTTAGTACTTATACACCAACCAAGGTACGACAGAACATTGACCTATACACGATAAGCTTCGGTCTTTGTGTCTTTATCCTCCGCACGTAGTGCAGCTAACCCCAGGGGCGGATCCAGGGCTGAAGCTAGACAGTATTTTTCCAGATTTTAAGGTCACATCCCCCAAAAAGGGCACACCACCCCACAGTGGGCGCCGTTAGGCGCGGAAGCACATGGCGGGGGATCTGGGGTGCCTCCCCAAAAAAAATTCATTATTTCAAGGGTCCCTGGGCACAAAAATTGAGCACACATTTAGTCAAGCAGCAATAGCTAAAAACCATATGGAATTTTATTTCTGCTTCATTTTGTCTGCGCTTAGCATACCAGCAATTAATGCAGAATGATTCAAGCACTTCTTTTATTTTTCAGATATCAAAGCTAGTTTTGTTACCATGTAAAATTTTGATTTCCTTCAAGTCCTGTCAATGAATCAAAAGAAAAAGAAAACAAATAAAGAATATAGCCAAATTCTATCAAATTGTTTTCTGTATTTTTTAGCGCAAAATTTCGAAGGGCACTTTGAAATCTAGACCGTATTTCCCAATACGGCAAATACGGTCTGAATCCGCCCCTGAACCCCAACCCTAACCCTAACCCTAACCCTAACGCCAAAAAGAGGGTTTCAACGAACGACGGCTACCGTACCTCCAGCCACTGCGATATTGTTTTCGTGCTCGTTTGTATGTATGTGTGTGTGTCTGCCCGATCGATATCTTTGCAACCGTAAAAGAGGTAGACACTTCAAACTTGGTCCACATGTGCATCTTATGGAGCGCTGGAACCCTATTGATTCTGAATGACCTTGACCTTATTATCATATAATAATTAAGTATATTGTGATTAAGTATATTTCCAACGCTGGGTCATAGCGGAAGTACCGTACCATTGCTAACGCGGGGCGGGGGTTCCAGGTGGTATTTCCAGGCGTGTTGTGTGTGGCAGAGTGTGTTCACTGCGCTGTAGAAGAAGCCAGTTCGTAGTTATGCATTTAACATGCACATTGCACATTTGCAGGTTTCATACAAATATACACGTACACAATTTCCCCACTTTCATTGTGTTAATTGCTTGTACATGCACATTTCATTGTGTATTTGTCACATGTATTTAGAGGTCTAACATTCCTCCTTGTTCATATACATGTAGTTAAATGTGCATTAAACATGAATCAATATATCTGCTTTGCAAGTTCCATGTATGTCTGAGTGTGCATTTCTGTTCTATTAGAATTAACAAATCCAGGGAGCAAAAAGACATCCATAAATAAATGATATCCAACAATGAATATCATACATACATGCACGTAAAAATAAAAATAAAAAGCACAGGCAGATAGTCGATCGGTTCAGTACAAAAAACAAACCAAGGTCAGCGTCATCTATTACAAGTAGCAACCTCAGCCTATAAAATATCACAGGTGTAGTGATCGCGTATGCGAAGGATTCGCACTCCCCGAGTACCTTCTTTCTAGTTTTGTAATGCGAATGCCCCTGTACTTTGTAGCAAGCCCAAAGACCATCATTAGGAATATGCTTAATTATATATATATATATATATATATATATTAAACCTCATTGATCCCAATCTTTGATCAAGCATGCGCGCTCGTTCGCAATCTCAAACGCACTAACTGCAGCAATAAGGTCTAATGTCTCCCCTGACCTCTGTTTGACCTCGCTCGTTTAGCTATTCTGAAACTAATATATATATATATATATAAAATATAATAATAGGGTATAGGCGTAGGTTAGGGTAGGATTAGGGTTAGTGTTAGGTTAGTCAGAAATAGACTAAACGAGACACCAGGTCAACACGAGGTCAGGGGACATAGATCTTTTTNATTATGCTATCGAACGACGGACAGGCTGCAGGCTGCCATGCTTCGGCGCAATTCCTGCCACATAAATATACAGAGATAACGGTAGGGTGTGTGTGTTGGCAGAGGGAAAGGGTCATCTCCCAGTTTTCAAAGTAAAAAAATATGACAAAAATTAAGCCCTAGTTCCCGGTTAGTTAAAAACGTAAGCTTTCCGGGTTGACTTCTACTTTCAAATCACGAAAAAATTATCTGGTATTTCCCGGTTTCCATATAGAATTAAAATGATCCAATTCCACCTCCGAAAATATAACCGCCTCCACCCACACTCGCAAATGTTAAAATCTCGGCAATAAGTGAATGCTACTGAGGTAACACGTACGCGCAATGCCGCGCCGCACTTACGTAATTTTACTTACATAATAACCGCATTATATGAAACGAAAATTTCTTCGCTCGAGCTTTTTGGATCATTGCCCAACTTGGCGTCTCACTTGTTCATCGAACCAGCGAGAGAGCGTGAACGTGATCCTTATCCTGCGAAATTTCTAACAACAACCGGTTTTCAAGTGATGACTAATAATCAAAAACCGCGCTGCTATGGTTGAATTATTTCTACTACGGTAAAAATAATTTATCCGCGGTTGAATTATGAGTAACAACCCCCCTGATTGGGTAAAAGGGCCGTAATTTAACCGCGGTTAAATTATGTGCAACACGACCTCTGATTGAGAGGCTAATAGTTTTACCGCGGTGAAGTGCGATTTCTGAGGACGACGGCCAACCATGCGCTCAAACTGCATGTAAATGCAAATGCAGCGCCGCTTTCGCACAACTCAGGATAGTGAATTGAGCCAGAGCGAGAGCGCCATCTGTCGTGGAGTTTGCCATTTCAGTGCAACTGACACGCTTGCCAACAATCTGACACTAGAGATGGCGCCAGTGTATCCAGCTTGGGTTATTTGCGTTTTAGCCGCGACGTTGTTCGGAGAAATTCACGTTATAAAATGTAAACGTTTCTAGGGCCGTTGCCAGGGGCTGACTAATGTTGAAGCCCAGTCACGAATGCGCGAAGCGCCGTAAAGGGGGTGAGTGTGTGAGGGGGCTTCCCCCCCTGAATTTTTTTGAAATGCTACATGGAAAATAGTGTACGCTGGCGAGTTTTAAATTGAAATTTTAACATTTGAAACACAATAAAAAGTACATTGGAACTGTTTAATTCACATTATTTTAAAAGAAAATCCGGAAATGATGTTGAAGCGCGAGCTTCCGGGCCTCCACCTGGCGACGTGCCTGGTTGCTATACGTAACTGCTGACAGCAATCCAGCGCACTCTCAGAGTACGCAAATCAGCAATCGACTTTATGCTAGCTGTTAAGATGCTATTCCCCACCATCACTGCTACGCAACAAATCAGCTTGGGTGATATGCACGTGCATGTCTATTATGTCGAGTTAATGTGATTAATGGATGAGAAAATCCTGCGATTGATAATGAAAACGCAAAAATCACATTTTACCATTGAGGTGTTTGCAGTAAGTCGCTTCAAT